CTCCCGCCGCCGGGCTGCCAGGGCCGGGGATGCGGACGCGTGGCCTCAGCCCCGAGCAGGCTCCCGAGCAGCGCTGCCCGCCGCCAGCCGGGAGGGCTGGTCCCGCCCGGGACGCCGCTGGGACGCGTGCGTCTCTCCGTGCGGGATGTTGCTGCACAGCCCTTAGCGAGCGCTGCTTTGTCGCTGTTACTGACCTGGAATGGTTCAGCTTGTTAGTGGAGACTGAAAAAAATGAGAATAAAAAGAGCTGGCGGCCTGCTTTTTTGTTTTATACTTTGAAATTGTATAAACTTGAAGTGGTTCTCGGGTTTCTCTCTGTGTGACAAGATTGATGCCCTTCCTTGCAGTGGCTGTCCGACAGGAAGAAGAGAGCTTTGCAGAAGAAAGATGTGGGTGAGTTTTCCTGTCACCAGGTGCTCGGTAACACTCGGTGCACAGGGGCAGCACACACGTCTGGAGGGAGACACTTTGCTGACTGTGCAAGGAAGTTCTGCACAGCTCAGATTTAAAAAAAAAAAAGAAAAAGCTGTAACTAGTTATGGTTCAACGTTCTGTGCAGCTTTGTATAAGTAGTATATTGCCAATATTGTTTTAAATTTCAGGTGTTAAGTGTTGGGGCTGTAGATTGCACAGAAACGTGATGGATGAATTCCCACGCATGCGACTTATGATAAAATCCAGCTATAAGCTCCTCTGTGTGTGTTATGCTCATGCTAGAGTGCAGAAACGTAATAATTTTAGTCTAAACTTGTTACCCAAAATAAAACATGGCTATTTACATACAGTAAGAAGGGCTGTAAAAAAAAATGCATAGAGTTAACAGGAGGATAGACTGTATTATAGATCTTAGTTGTGTAAATTTTATGCTAAATGCTTGATACTTCATTATATAATAATTTATTACGTAGTTGTCACCTCAGAATAGGCAGTTGTTTTGCATGGAGGTATCTTGCATCTCTGGGTTAACTAACTATATTAATCTTCTTACAACATGTGTTAATAATACTTAAAACTTATTCCCTGTATTCAATTAACTTTGCATGCTTCCCTAAAGAACCATTATAGTTTTTGGGGCTGATAAAATAGTGCTACCTTTAAAAAAACATTTTATTCTATTTCTTCATAGATATCCGGAGAAGAATTGAACTTATTCAAGACTTTGAGATGCCCACAGTTAGCACAAAGATTAAGGTATCAAGAGATGGACAGTATGTTATGGCAGTTGGTGAGTTATCAAAGAGTCTCTGTCTGTAGCAGAGCCAAAAATGCTAGAAAATCTTTATTGCAGAATGACTTGATATTTTGGGTAGAATTGGTAAGAGTTAATTTTAAAATGTAGCATTGAACAGAGTTTCAGAAGCTTACTCACAAGATGTGATAGAGTGTCTGTCTTGGTAGTGGTATTGTCAAACACTTCTTTTTAGAATACAGATATTCTTAGAATCATAGACAAGTTTGGGTTGGAAGGCACCTTTGAAGATCATCTCATCCAACCCCCCCACCACTGGCACCTTATAATACAATTAAAAATGAAATTGTTTATAATATAGTTTAAAACTAAGTTTGTATTTATTTTTATTGTGTGTGCGTATATATTTGCTTCAAATAACTGCTGAACATCCTCAGAGTATTGTTTTAAAGGATGGAGGATAATGCTACATTTTGTAACTGTCAAAGCAGGATCCATACATGGATACTTCAATAGGCGTTAACAGCATAAAGAGACTTGGTCTTTCAGGCATCAAAGACAAAAAACAGGCCTTAAGGTTATGTTAACAAGAGGCATGTTTTCCCAGTCTCAGAAGCTTTGGTAAGATCAGAATACTTAGAGCTGAAATACAGTTAAAGTCTTTATATGTAAGACGTGTATATATATATATGTATATATATTTATTATTTTTTTTTAAATCCCAAAACATTAATGTTATTCTTTTGTTTGTTTGTTTTTAATTAAAGATCAAATTGTTTTTTCAGGAACTTATAAGCCGAGGATACGCTGTTATGATACCTATCAGTTATCCCAGAAATTTGAAAGATGCTTAGATTCTGAAGGTTAGTAAAAGCAATGGCTGTTTGTACAATCTATCTTCCATATCTAATTCAGGTGGGACTCTTAGAAATTTCCCTCCTTGTGCTGAGGGGACAGAATGCACTGCATGGGAGCACAGGAATCTCAAGTAAAACAGAACTTCACCTACATCACCTTGCCTTTATCTGTGTTTTTCCCTTTTCCTCCTTCAAAGTTCTTTCCTCTCTTGGAGTGGTGTCAGGCAATGTAAGGTTTACCTTGAGCCAGTAGGTGCTGGGCTTAGGCAGTGAATATGGCTGAAGGCTTTGCTCTGTTTGGGAAATGCAATGTGAGTATGATGGCTGGGTAGCAGTCAGTGCTTCTTTCTTCTTCTGTGAAGCAGTAAGGTAGGAGAAGGCACTGTGGTTGCATCATCAATACTGAAAGGAGTTCTCTCTGTTTTTCCACTGGAGCCCAAGGTCAGCAAGTGAGTTACAGGGTAAAGAGAATTTCCTGAGAGTGGTTTGGGTTGTTTGGTTGGTTTGTCTTCTTGGAAGCAAGGTACTTGGGGATACATGGTAGCATGGCCAAGGCCCTAATTGCGCCTTGTTTGCTGCTATTTTGGAAGGAGAACAACTATGGTCAACAAAGCAATGAGCTGTCTAGACAAGCTGCTGTAGCACAAGTTTTAGAGTACATAAATTTGGGGAATGGCATGTGGATTTTTTTGGTTTTGTTTGTTTTTATTAGAAGGCTGGAGTGGTAGAAGGCTGATGGCTGAAAACTGGGATACAGGGTGACTAAAGCAGAGAAGGAATGAGTGTGAAGTGGAAGAAGTCCTAAATCCTTATGGAAGAATGAAATTGATCTAACTATGATGTGTATAAAAGTGATGTGGGAAAAAAGTTTGAAAACTACTGTATTAAGTCAGGGGAAGGGGATTAGAGTGTGGTGGTGTTTCTTTACCCTGAGCCTAAGGACTGGGAGTCACACAGGGTGAAGGGACAGTGCTACAACATAGTAAGAGGGGAGCTGGTAGGGTTTCAGAGAGGCTGGGGAAAGTGAAGAGTGGGACCCATGTTAAGAGAGTAGGAGTCATTGTAATAGTAATGCTTGCTGGTAATTAGAGCTTGCAGTAATTTTTTATTTGGCATTTTACTATATTGCAGAAGTATGTTTAATTTGAACTGTAGCATAAAGACACTTCAGGTAACTTTAAATGAGCTACCTTATTTAAATGGAATCAGTTTAGCCAAAGCAGCTACTCCCTGATGTTCCCAACCCAGCTCATTTAAAACTAGGCAAAGTTCAATACATTGCAGTGCTCAGCACGGTTTGTATCTTTCAAACTTGATTTTTTTTGAGCCTTAAAACTTTTCTGTGCAAGTGCTGACTGATCCCTTAGAAAGGTCATGTGTGTGGTTTTGTGCGTAGCATATCCAAACTCATGTCATTTTTAGTCATCTTTCAGGGATTACCAAAGGTCCACAGACCACACACTCACCGAAAACCATTTGATTAAACCTTCCCCAAGCCAATAAATAAATGATTGAGCACTGTTTAGAGAAGTGTGTCAGGTATACAGGAATGATAAAAAGATTACCAGATGCTCCATGTTTCTAAAGTTTTCTAAAACTACTTGCTGTTTTGCAAGTAAAGTTGTATAATGAAAGATTTTATCGTGATGCCTGCATTACTGGTTGACAGCTGTGGGGAATATTTATATGACTAAAGGTCAGCATGAGTGTAAATGTTGTCAGGATTTGTGCCAGTGTTTGCAAATATGTTTGCTTACTTACTTGACTTAAAATTCTCTTTCTCTCTCATCTAGTGGTTACGTTTGAGATTTTATCAGATGATTACTCAAAGGTATGTTTAATGTTTTCAATGTATAAATGAAAAAATAGTTAAATATGTATATTAAAATGCATTTTCATATATAGTAAAGGCAGTCAATCAACACAACCTTTGGAACAGAAAAGTTTTTTTAGAAAAGCTAACAGGATAAACATCTTTGTACCTTCAAAATGTTTTTCTTTGTCTCTTTGTATTACAATTTGTCTTACCACTTTTAAAATCTTTTGTAGTAGAGAAGAACTTCAAATAACGATCTATCCTGTAAACAAAATAATGTGAAAAATGGAATTAAGTTATTCTTTCTAGGATAACATCCCTTGTGAGAATGATACACAGACACACCATTTCTGAGAGGCAGGATAGCTGTACATAAGTTAATAGACTGGTCTGTGAGCGTTGTTGTAGCCATGATGAATATAAGCATATCAGTGAGGGAAAAAACATGGAGAGGAGTAGTATCTTTGTTTTGTTTGTTTTTTTCATGAAGTGCTGTACTTGGGGGAAACAGTTGAGTTCTTAAGACCATCAGCCTTTTTTAGGCCCAGTACACTTATCACTTCTAATTCTGCTTAACACTCAGAGAAGTGTTCATGTGCATGAAAGCTCATCTGTTTTCTCCAGCTGCAGCAGTTGATGTAATAAAAGATGCTACTTTCTGTAAACTTTGCTGATTCATCAATATGGAATTTAAGCATTTTTAAAAATTTACTTGTTTATTTTAATTTTATTTTTTTTTCCCCTGAGAACAAGCCCTAGAATTTCTGGTACAGGTTTGTTTTAATTAGTATTTCTGTTTGTTCAGAGGCATTATTATTTAGGCTTCTAGCTTTAGTCTTTTCAAAATTTTTCCCATGTGAGATTTGCAAGACAGTGCGTGAATTCCAGTAGCAGAGGGTGACTGATACAGTCCAGTAGCCTCCCAGTTGTCAGCCTGTTGGAGAGTGCTTTGCTTGTACAGACCAAACGGCTATTTGGGAGACTGAGGAACACCTTGTGTTTGCAACTCTTTCTAACTGGTTATGAACAGTAAGAGTGGTTTGTGTTTTCACTTGAAATTGGTACTCTTTCAGGATGAAGCCCTACTTTCACAACTTAATACAGCCTTATTTTCAAGTTTATTTTCCTAAAACTTACCTTGCCAAATCGTTAGAGAGAAAGCTGATCTCAGATAGCTGTCATAGTGTTTTAAGCATGTTAAAAAGAGGGGACAATGTTTGAGAAATTACACTTGAAGTTCTTAGCATCATAAAAATATTGATTGGAGGGGACCTCCAGACATTGTTTAATGCTTGGACAGGACTGTTAAAAACGACAAGCTTGGAGGTTCCACAAATTCATGGAAAGAATTGTAATGTAGTACTACCTCATCATGAAGAACTTTGCCTTCCTGTTCAACTGGCCTGAAATTTTCACTGTTGCTACTGCTAAGAGTTTGACTCTTGTAATTTTTGTAACTGCACTTTAGTTGCTGGCTGCTACTAGGTTGTCCTACCACAGAGTGCTCTTAGTCTGGCTAAACAAGCTAAGATTCTTCCAGCCTTTCATTGTTTTTTGTGTTCTGCCCCTTGTCTGGCTTGGTAGCCACCTTGATGCTCTCAATATCCCTTCTGAACTGGGAGGACCAACACTAGACATGCTGCCTCATGCTTTAGTAACACGGGAAATTGCATCTCCCCAGGCTTCTCCTGTGGTCACCTTCTGAGGCTTATTTGCATTTTCACAATGAGAGCACAATGTTGGTTTTCATTCACACCAATATCCATAAGGCTAGTTATACTTCTGTGCTCTCCTGAGTTTAAGACTTAGAAGTTCTAGACTTGGACATAGTTTCAGACGTAGGAGAGACCATTATCTTTTTTTTTTTTTTCCCCCACAGCCTTTTCCAAAAGGACACGTATTTCCACTTTTTTCTTGCCATACACTGGTGGCTGTGCTTTTGCATAGCCATTTTGGGACCAAAATTAATTTAGTATGAAAGAAAGAAAAATGTGATTTACAGTGAGTCATTCTAACTGCTGATGAAAGATGACACAAACATCTTCAAGTCCAATATTGCACAAATTTATCTTAAAATAGAAAATTAGGAGTGGTAAGGCAATCATTAGCAGAATATTTCGTTGCTTTGGGCAAATAACAAAAACTTTCTAAAATCTTCTTGGAGGTAGAGTGCATGACATGAAAATTCACCTTTCTTATTGAAAGCAAACTGCATCATCTGTCTTCCTGGAAACAGGTTTTTGATGGATTACTGGTATTGAACTAAGAATGTGATACTGATCTTTTAAAATGAAATATGATTTAATTTTGTGTTCTTACAGTTTATGTGGCTTCTTTACTGCATGCAGATTCAGACATTTCTTCTTTTGCAATGATGGTAGAGAAAATGTACTGATGTATAAATAAAACAACTTTTGTAACTTGCTTTTTCTGAGCTTCTGATCCTTATTTGTGTTGCTAACAACGTGGACTAGCAGTAAGGAATTAAAAAAATCTATACTGTCTGCTGCTTCTAGAAGATGCGTGGACTATAAGTATTCTAAACTAAATGAACACTTTTCTAATCTAAGCTAAATAGGGATGAGGTTAAACGTTAGCCTGTGAATATCCATACCATGTAATTGTTCATGTGCATTGTGGCATCAGTTTAAGTGAGGCTGAGTGTTCCTCCATCACACAGTGCCTGGGCATGGCTTGAGGTACAGTGTGAGTGTAATGGATGGTGTGGGCAATACCATTTCTGGAGTGGGAGGAATTAATTCATATGGATATGAGTTGTGCCATGTTAACTTGCCATTAGGACTATATGGGCAGATTCTGGCCTATTTTATTTACAAGTATAGATCTGGCTTTTTAGTAATGGCTCACTTTGGGCTCTTCCAGGAGTGAGATGTTTGTCTGAATTTCAGAAAGAAACAATGTGCTTACTCAGTGGACAAGCAACAACAAAAATGCACAAAGGTTGTTGGTATCATTTACTGAGATGCTGCTGTGCAACAGGATTTATAGTTCCTGTGCCTAGCACCTATGAACATACTGGTGTCTTTATCACATTGTACCTGGAAGAAATTAACTGGAGTCTGAAAGAAGTACAGATGTTAATTTTGGTGTAGCCCACCTCCCACACGACTATACCAATTCTGGTTGCAGAGTCACATAGACCCTTGTGAATCTTCATTTAATGTTTAATAAACCTCTTTGATGTGGATTGTGAGAATGGTGAAGCACTAGTTGACTCATTTTAATATAAATAATTTAAATGAATTGTGATAAACCAATGTGAACTTGAAAAAAAATCACCAGAGTTTGTGCTGTAAGGCAAGCTAAGGATATTGTAATTTGGTTTCTGTATGTTTCAGTGCTTTCTATTTTCTTTTCAGATTGTCTTCTTGCAGTGTGGCAGGTTTGTGGAGTTTCACTCACAACATGGTCATTACTACAAGACAAGAATACCAAAATTTGGTAGAGATTTCTCTTACCACTATCCATCGTGTGACCTGTATTTTGTAGGAGCAAGGTATGATGAAATGGATTATTTTTTTTCACTTCTGTTAGCAATGTTTTCCAAGAATAAAATGAACATTAAAATACTGGAATAGTTAGGAATTGGAAGTGGCAATTCCTTCCAAATTAATAATGGAGATGGTGAAGAGTAGATAATGTTGGAAGACTTAAGATTTGTTCAGTTTCCTGTACTGTTTTAGGACTTCTGTTCTTTGATTCTTAAACCAGGAACATCATGTATTTGCAAATCTGTTATAAAAATTGTTTAGCATTTAAATAGGAAAAATAACTGTTTCTATCCTGGTTGGTGTCTTGTTGCTGTTAAAGTGTGAGTCAAGTCACATAATTAATTGATTTTGTATGAAGACATAGTAAAAGTAAAATAAGTAGTAATTCAAAATGTAACATAAATCGTAAGAAATTAAAAGATCTTAAGAAAGAAATTAATTCATCTTTTTCCTGGAAAAAGATTAACTGGTAGGATATTGCAAGGTAATAAATACTTTTGGTGAACATGGACAGTTTTCACTGTATTTATAAAACTGAAGGATGGGTTTCTTGTATGTTTTAGATTGCGAGGTCTGAAAATTATATATTTGGTAGCAAGATTTTTTTATAACTCCTCCTAACTTAAAACAGTCCTCATAAAAACATAAAGGTATTTTTCAGTATTTGCGAGAGAAAGGAATATTATCTGTTTTTCCTTTGTAGTTCTGAAGTGTACAGGCTAAATCTGGAACAAGGAAGATTTCTGAACTCACTGCAAACTGATGCTTCGTAAGTTATCTGTAGTGCATGATGTGTCTCTGTCATCTTTCCACCAGGTGGAAGCAAACTACTAACATGCTCACCATCAGTACTGTATCTGAATGCTGCCCAAATGTATTGTAGAGTTGAAAAGGAGCATATGCTGAATATGAGCCTCATTTTATTTTATGTTCTGTAATTCTGTGTTCTAGTTTTTATGTTTTAATTGAGTTTCATTTTCTGGATATTCTAAAATTGCTTAATATAGACTTAGAATTAATATGTATGTTATATTAATATATATAACTTGATCTCAGAAGCATTTCATTAAAAGTTTGCCATTATTGCTCAATTTAGCCATCACATAGAGATCTACCCACAGGGTATGTACTTTTCCAGACATGTCTTTGTCCTTCTGCTCTTGGAATAGCTTGAAGAAAATTTTTATATCTTCAGCATGTGTCTGATTCATTTGAAAACCCTACCAGAACAGGAGCTGGGCTGTTTTCATGTGGGTAGAGGCAGATGAGAGGAACAGACTTGACTAGATACAGTAGCTGTTGGTGGGTACAGCTGGTTTTCAGTGGGTAGGATAGCTTAATGGCTGAAGCAGTATTTGGGTAGGGCATAATAGAGAAACTGAGCAGCAGGGAAAAAAAAAAAGGAAGAAAATCCTGGAGTGGGAGAACTAAGGGTGTAGTGTAAAATTTAAATTAGAGAGATGAGACTTGAAGTTGTTGTGAAGTGCAGGAGTTGGATAAGTTGTAGGATTAGAGGTAGAGGGCTTTGAATGGAAGAAGTTGGAAAGCACAAGGATGGATGTTGTGAAGATAAACATTAGTACTTAGGAAGAACTATTGGGAGAAATACAAAGTTCTTTGGTGCCCTGTTGAGAAATAGGATACTTGGGTGAGGGAAAGGAAGACAGGCCATTCAGAATATGTTGGAGATGTAAGCTTCAGAACATAGGTAATGGGGAAGACCTTTTGACATAATTGAGTTTAAGAATATAGTGGAGCAGAGTGATACAGCAAGGCAGTTTCCAGTAACCAGCACTGTCTCACATGGCTCAAAGTTCTTATTCAGCTCCTCTGAAGTATGGGAAGCTGCTGTTAGGTTGCCATCCGTCCCTTCTTCCAGCTGTTAATTTTCCAGGCTGAGTAACCATGTACATGATTACACAGAAATTGTTTTAGCTATTGTTGTGTTATGTTATTCTGAGGTAATTAAACTTGCTCCTTTTTCTGTTTTAGAGAGAGTAATGTCTGTGACATAAATCCTGTGCACTTCTTGTTTGCTATGGGGACAGCTGAGGTAAATGTTTGCATTCCTTTTATAAAAAGGGCAGTAGTGTTTTTTTTCTTTTTTATATTAGTTTGCATGAGGATAAGAAGAAATTATGACAGGAACTTAATTAATTTGCTTTCATTTGCTATGTGAAGTATAAATACATGGAACAAGATTACTTTTTATAGCATAATGCAGATAGATTTTCTGAGCTACCTTGGTTGCTGAGATGCTAGGGATTTTGCAAATGGAAGAGAAAATAACGTTATCTTGCTCTACAGTATAGCCATCTGTAGCAATTAGCTAGGATGTGTACCCTGTTAATCTTAATGAATTTGATCCAGATCACATTTAAAAAATAAATACATGTGAGGGGCTTGTATGCCATTATTAGAACAACATCTGTCAGCCTAGGATATTGGACTAGTTATTAAGCGATTAAATAATTTATAATTTTATTTAAACTTTTTCAGAGTACCAGGCATCTGTTGCATAAGCTTGAAACATATTTTTTTTTAACTTTCTAGGGTAAAGTGGAATGCTGGGATCCTAGAACTAGAAATCGAGTTGGGCTGTTGGACTGTGCTTTAAGCAGTGTGACAGCAGATGCAGAGTGAGTAAAGCCTACCTTTTCAAAGTGTGTTCTTCTGGTTTTTCACAAGTTTTGCTTTTTAGAAACAAATCCAAGTTTGCATTAAAATGGCCTTCCCGTGGTCTTATTTCTGGTGTCAATAAGGGGTTTTCAAAGTCATGAAGGAGTCCCTTCGTTATTGATCTGAGTAGTAGTGGCTAATTTTCTATACAACCACAAGCTGTGAATGTAAGCAACACAGCTTTTTGAAGTCGTATTTCTCTGAGTGGTATCTGTACATTAATTTACATTCATTATCTTAGCTATTTTAAATATCTAAAAATTATTTGCAGACTTTATTGAAAGAATGTCTAACTGTAAGCATTGTACTTTGCAGGATAGATGGTTTACCATCTGTTTCAGCACTGAAATTTGATGGAGCTTTGAATATGGCTGTTGGAACATCTACTGGGCAGGTAGACTTAACTTCATCTACAACAGTTCTTAGGAGAACCTGTTCTTGCAATTGCCAGTCCAAGTCTGTCATACATAGCATGTGCTTATTGCAATGTAAATATATATTAATACAAGTATTTATAAGAGCGTGAATTACATGAGTAGAGTAGTAATTGTCATTCTTAAACTGCAAGTTAGTTTTCTCAGATGGTCATGCTCTTCAGAATACTATAGGGACCACTTAAAATCATCACAGCCTACATACTATATAACTTCAAATTCTGCAGTTTTCTTACAATGCAAGAGTCAAATACGTGGGGAAGTTGCTGCCTTTTGAGACTCGTTTATTAGTACTATCTCAGTGCCACATAGATGTGCTCCATTTTATTGATGGTGGCTAAAGAAGCAGAAGTAGTTGTCTTTTAACTTGTTTCTAGTGTCTTATCTTTCTATAAGGGAACATGTTGATTAATTTATTCAGTGTTGCCACCATATTTGGAAAGGGGAGTATGGGGGATTTTTTTTCTGCCTTCATCAGTCTTTTCTTGGGTTTAGACAATTGTACCTTGTTCAAGAGCAGATAGGTATGTAAGAGCTGCATTTGCAATGGTGTTAGTATACACGTCATGCAAGTTTTATTGGAGATTATATTTTTTTATTAGACAAGCTGGTAATATTTTTTCCCTCAAGTTATTAGTATTCACACTTTGCATGTGAGAGATTTAAGGTTTCCATAGGAAACTGGAGATAAAATGCAGGTTTCTGAAAGACAGGGCCTGTACTCTCTACGTCCCTTAACGTAAAAAAAATTACATTCTGTGGTGTTTCACTGAAGGAAAGTGGTACTTGCTGCATGTAGAAGGGAGTCTGAAAATGTTAATCTTGTAGGAACAGCATGAGAACCTGAAAGTGAAGTAATTAAGAAATACTAAGAGACATGGAAATGGTTCATTTTTTCAATAGAAATTTAAAGTACTTTAGAACGATGGTGAGCTCTCAAATTAACTCCTATTTTTATTAGACTGAAGCATGCTGAGATTAAAATATATTGCCAGCATAGATTTGGCTCATTTAAGCTGTTTGCAGCATTTAGGATTATTCCCTTTACCTAAATCATGACCATGCATTTAAGTATGAAATCTCAAGTTTAGTCAAAACTTCAGTGAAGATCTGGTGTGTGTGACTTCCTCTTGATCTGACAATATTCTAAGTTTAATCTGTCTCTTACTCTTTAAGGTTTTGTTATATGATCTCCGGTCTAGTCATCCTTTAATAGTCAAAGATCACCACTATGGCCTGCCTATTAAGTCGATTCAGTTTCAGAGTCAGTTGGATTTAATTATCTCTGCAGATTCTCGAATCATAAAAATGTGGAACAAAGATACAGTAAGTGTTTTTATGTTGCTGCATTCAGATTTTTTTCTTTTTACATTTGTTGTTTGTTTGTTTGTTTTCTATGCAGCTTGACTAATAAGGCTGAAATTCAGGGTAAGAATTAGGGTTTTTATTGTGTCCTAATTCACATTGCATTTTGTCCTGTCTGACTGAATAAACCAACATCTGGGAAGTTATTCAACAGCCTGTCAGGTATAAAGATACAGTCTTAGGTATTTGTTTAGCTGTTTGTCCATGTCTGCCTAAGATGCTTCTTTCAGTAGAAGGCTTTAAACATCAGAAGGGGTATCTTAGCCTTTGCCTTGTTGGCATATTTCTCGTAGTGTGCTTCAACACAACCTGTTACAATTTTTCATCAGCGAAAACATGGTCGTTCCAATTTCCTGGTCAAAGGACTGCTAACTTTAAGGTAGATCAGTTACTTTATGACCTATTAAAATCAGGTGCTGCTTATTTTCACAGAAACATATTTGGATATTGAAGCAGATACATTGCCTAGATCCAAACAGCAATGTGTATTATGCTATATTAATGCACTATGTTGCAGTAGACAATGTCTTTGTCCCTGTCTTTTGCACCTCTAAATAAAATAGAAATCTCTGATTTTCTTAACATTTTTCATCATTATATTATGCTGTTCTTTTTTGTATCTTTCTATCAGTGAAGCTTGCACAAAATATGTTACCCCATAGATTCATAGTAATACTACTGGAACTTGATTTGGTTTGAGGGGCTGTCTTTAGTCATCATATTCCTTCTAAAAAACATGCTCCATTTATGCTTTTCTAGCTTCATGGGGAAACATATCTGAGGAGCTGTAGTTTAGAGGCACTTTTTTTTCTGACCATTTCAGGCAGTCATTTCTCTATTGTTATGCTTCTTCATGAACTTTCAACAGCCTCTCATTTTTTCTGTGATCACAAGCAGTTTTTTGTAAGCTTCTCTGCAGTTATTTTTTATTGTTTAAAAGAGCAAATAAATTATTGGTTATTATTTAAAACATCTGCTGTGGCCTCTCTCCATTTTTCCTAGGTGTGTATATATATATATTTCCCTCACTGAGAATGAAACACTGTAAGGTTTGTCAGGTGGCCTCTGCAGTGGGAAAAGGGAGGGTTTCGTACTGCTGGAAGGCAAAGGTAGCTTTGGACTCTTTCCTAGATTATGTTCCAGCTGGCTCCACCTCTCCCAGATGTTGGTTCCTGACTATCTCTGGCTGGGAACCAACTGCAGAGGCAGACTCTGGGGTGGAGAGCATATGGCTTTGATACCAGAATAGCCCCATGCTGAGACGTGCCTTGGGGTGGGGAGCATGAGGCTTTTGTCTGCTAAGATTGGGGTGGGGGAGGACTCCTATTAATCATCGGGGAGAGACCAGAGGTGGGTGGGGTAACAGCATGTAACTGGCAGGGAAAGGAAGGGCCCAGAAAGGTAGGTGGGATTGCTGCAGGGGAAGAAAAAAGAGGAATAGGATCAAAATTTGCTCTGTTCCTGTCCCTCATTTAGAGCCGTGTAGGCATGTACTCTCATGCTTCAGATTCTGTGGCCCAGTTCTGAGAGACTCTTCTTTTACTGGCTGGCTTGTGTGTTGGCTTATAAGAGCACCTGTATTTTGTCTGGGTTTTTCAGACTCAGTTCCAGTTCTTATTTTTTTGAGAACTTTGTTTCCTGCTTTTACCTCTTTATTAAATAACCTTTATCGTTTCAATTCTGATCTAAGCTAGATATCACTGGATGCTTTCACTGCTTTTATTTAATATTTAGACCTCTTTAGTACTGAGTTTGTGGTCATTCTATGACATTTATTCTACGATAAATTATAAATAAAGTCCTAAGCTACATTTCATTTCATGTAGACATGATCAAGGTGGAAGAACTAAGCTCCAGATACAAATTCCACTCCCAGTCCATCATTTCAACTACTCATACTTACCAAATAAAATTGTTTAAAACAACGATACTCGTGGTAGAACAAAATAAAGATTACACTGACAATGTGCCAGGCACTTATGGACCTCTCTGCCTCGGTTGAATGAAATGAAGCAAATCTGACACACCTTTTCAACACAGAAGTGTGAGCTGAGAAATTGAGGTGCTACTGTACATTGCTGTGTTTTCAATGACCACTACGTGTCCTTGTAAGAGACAGGATCAGAGATGAAATACAATATTGAGCTCCTAGTATTATGTTCAAATACTTTTTGTTCTGCAAAATCTGTTCCATTCTTATTCCACCATATTTCTTAGCTTCTATAATGCTTATTCTTAATGTTCAGGTTTACTAAATTTAATTATATTGTTTGGAGTTCTTCATAATGTATTTTCTTCCTACAATTTCAGGGGAAGATATTTACTTCAATGGAGCCAGAATATGAGATCAACGATGTCTGCCTGTATCCAAATTCAGGTAAGTTAGATGTATTTATGTCTTCCTAAGTTTAATCCAAGCTGTGGTCTTTTTTTCCTGTGTAGGTGATACGGGTTAGGTCTACTTTCTGCCTTATGGCAGAGCTAGGAAAAATAGTTGCTTGCCACTTAGTGTCATTGTTTCCTCTCTATCTGTACTTAATTGGAGCCTCTTCACAGTTAGTAACTGCTGTGCTGTCAACTTAGTGGTTGACCTCTTTTGCTCTTTCAAATATATGTTTAAATTTCAGAAGAATATAAATTTTACCCTTTTGTCTTCGCCAAGTGCTGGATGAGTTAGAGCTTGCTGTAAAATCTACAGCAAGTTTACAATTTTTTACAAGTGTTTACAGCTATTTTATCTTTCCATGTTTTAGATCTAGCATTTGCTGTGCCCTCCCTTAGATGAAATACTTTGGTTTTAAGTCTAGATTCTTCAGTGCACAGATTTGCATGCTTTGTATGACTTTTAAAAAATTTGTTGCGTCTCATGGTGTTATTTTTAGAGTTCAAAACTGAGGGTTGCTTCTAACCAAAGTTTTCAGGTCCTACCGTATGAGTAAAAATATTTTTACAAAATGGTGGTTGCATATGCACATGTGCTTTGCTTATACCTCAGATTGCAATTAGTCTTAATTTTCCCTGCTTGATCGAAGTTGCTTATTTCTTAACTACTATGTGACACACAATTTATTTTTCTTCTAGAAAGCAGTACTGAAAAAAATTAAATAAAAATCAGGGCCACTAGGATGGCACAGGGCAAAATTCTAGATTCAGAGAATGCATGTGTTGGAAAGTCTGCTATTATCTTAATTTTAGAAAGAGGTAGCAGCAAAGACAGATTGACTTGGACTTTGATTCATACTAGCAGCTCAAATTCAAGATTGTAGATAAAGTGAGTTTGAGATTTATAATGAGTTAAAACTTACCTTGTGTTTTCTGCCAACTTCAGTTAAGGATATGCCCTTTTTAACTTATTTTTATTTGTAAGATGAGCACTTAAATACTGATCCCTGCTGATATGGTGGGTGTTTTATACTTTATACAGCAGCAAAACTGTAATGGTCTGCAGAATCTTGCATGATGAAAATATTAACTGACTTCCATGCTGCTCAGGTTTAGGTAGCCCCCCTTGAAACAAAATGGTCTTTCAGTACGTAGGAATTGGGCTGGGTTTTCCTGAGCCCTTAAAAAAGACATTGGTAACATTTTATTTGTGTTCCTTATATAGTTTTTCCCAGTTCAAAGTGCCAAAAATAATGCAAGTGAAGAATTGAAACCTGCTAAAACAAGCACTTTATTGCATGGCACTGAGGGTACATCTCGTGTGCCCTGGTTGTATTTGAGTCCATTTGGGTGCATCTGAGAATAACTGTGTGGTAACAGTGTGAACTGTGCAACATGGAGGTAGGCAACCCTGGTCTTCTCTCATCTGTAGTGGCTACAGAGAGAGGTCATTGGAGTGAATTATCTTTAGCATTTCATCCAGGTTTCACCCTTGATAACTTAGTCAATTTGATCCAAAAGAGAATCCAGGAGTAGATAACCACCCATGCAGCAATGATGATGAAGGGCTGATGACAGAGAGTGAAACAGCAGCTATTTGACAATGTAGAATCTTAGCATAATTTTTAGTAGGCATCTCTGGGGGTTGTGTATATAGACATGCCTCAAGGGCTTTTGCAGAAATTCTTTTCAAGAGCCTCTACAAGAAAGTTCAAAACACAAAGAACTGAATGCACAAATCTCCTTAATGTTGCTTGTTGGACATTTGTTTTTCATGTGTCTGTCATCTACATCGAGATCAGTGATGTAGATCATGCATTTTAGTCCTGTGTTCCATGTCTTCTGCTTAAGTCAGTTCTGCTTTTCTTATTGTTCTCTCTTCAACCATGTCTGTAGGGGGGCAGGTTGATGTCTTTTGGTAAGAACTATGGTGGTATGAAAATTAGGCTGTATTTTATAATCATATGAGACAGAGAGGAAAAACTACAACATGTTGCAGTGGAAATGAAGAGATTTAAGGTGAGAGTTAATTCACTGCGTGTTTGTCAGAAATACTCTTGCTCCAGAATTCAAGATGCCCAGCACCACTTCATACTTTTTCAGAATTTGAAGAATAATAAAGATTGAACATCTGAAAATAAGAAAATACTTTCAGTAATATGAACTTCCAGTTGTGGAAAGCTGGAAAATACAGAATAATTTAAGTACCAGTATGGCTATAGCTCAGTGCTCTCATTGGTGCCCCAGCATTCTCAGAGCACCACTGAATGTTTGAGAAGCCAACATGATACAGGATACCCAAGAGATCTTTGTCTAGCTTGTGTTTTAACAGAAGGACATGGAGCTCTTTGAGGCCAAAGCACCACCACAAAGATTATTAGTTGTGTGGAAGGCTCTGAGGAGACCTTATTGCAGCCTTTCAGTACTTAAAGGGAGCTTATAAGAGATACGAGGGCAAACCTTTCTGCAGGGCCTGTTGCAATAGTACAAAGGGTGATGGTTTTAAACTGAAAGAGGGTATATTTAGACTAGATATAAGGAAGAAAGGAGCACTGTGAAACACTGGAACAGGATGCACAGAGAGGTGGTAGATGCCCATCCCTAGAAACATTCAGGGTCAGGTTGAACGAGGCTCTGAGGAACCTGATCTAGATGAAGGTGTCCCTGCTCATTGCAGAGGTGTTGGAATAGATGACCTTTAAAAGTTCCTTGTAACCCAAACTGTTGTATGATTCTGAGATTTAAGGGAAACTGTGGATCAGCATGATGTGAATTGTTCTTTTTCAGTAGTTTTGTGGGAGTTGTCAGTCTTTTAAAACTGAAATTATTTTACCAGCCAGCTTCAGTGTTACTGTCTTTCAATGGGAAGCAAATCTTTGTGTATCTTTGACCAAACTACACAATGACAGACTTTAGTGAATTGCTTAAACTAGTTATTAATCTCTTTTCTCTGGTCACACATGCACTGAATTTTACTAGGGGAAAAAGTTTTACTACTTACTCAGTAACCTTGACTCAGCATCAGTTAAGTTGTAGAGCATAAAAGAAGCTTAACAGTATCTTCAGAGTACAAAAATCTGTGCCTTGGTTGTGTCAATTATTAAAAAAAAATAACATTTGCATTTTCTAAAACTCCTTCTCCCATTTACTAGTGCTTCATAGTTGTGTTTTCATTCTTTTAAACTGATGATACTGAATTGCAGATGTCTTTACAAATATAGTCTTATTAAAACCTCTTCTGAAAAAAAAGTCATTTATTTCCCTTTTACAGTGATCAAACTAGGCTGCTCTATACTTTGTTAGGGTGTGGTCTCTCCTCCCATAAAAATTGGCTAAAACTAACAAGCTGAAACAATGAAAATGCGTGGAGTAGACTTCTTTTCACACAGTTGTTCCTTGCTTTAATTATTTTATTTCCCCTGTAGTTTATGCCCATGTACTGTTCTGAAGTCAGTTTTTCACTCCTGTGATTACTGGTGGAAGACTCTCAAGAGGGAGTCATCTTTGAAGCACCTGCAGAATTGTCATTTTGTCTCTAGTGATTCATACTCAGTCCATGGAGAAATTCTTTATCTCCTGGAATAGGAGTGAGCATACTGATACATGTAGAGTATATAATCTATATACTATACTGTAGCACATTGTGTATGTGTATATGTATATACTATAAATGCTTGCTTTTTCATTCAATTGCCTGCAAACCTTTCCAGTTATGGTTTTTAGCCTCAGTTTGCTGACTAAGCTTTCCCAAATTTCTTTCTTTGCTGGGAAAGCAGGCCCCCTTGTTTCTGACATTTTAAGTCCAGCTGTGTTGTGTATTTTTAATAAAAGGATTAGTTAGGAAGGATTACTCCACCCATGTTAATCGCGTTCCTCTAGTTGGGTGTAAATTATATTTCTACCCTCTGGGTGTGTAGTAATTGACCCAATTATTCATAGTCTCAGTGGCATATGTTACAGTGCTTCTAGATCAGAATGTTATCTAACTGGATTGCTCTTTTCTTCTTCATATTCCATCTTTTGAATTACCTGGTGATTACCTATGTTGGAAAGACAAAATTGAGACAAACATGGAAGTAAATACCAAATGTTCTTATTACTCTCTTATGTAGAAGGGAATTAGGAGTATTTCTCATTTTCAACTTACATGAGTCTTGTGGCAGTTGGGGATTTTCTGTGCATTTTAATATTTGTACAGTAGCTTTTTTATATTGAGAGTAGTTACTACCTTTATTCATGGTGTTTCTTAGGTATATTCATAGCTATTTCAAATTTTCCATTTGTCCCATTTGGCTAATATCACTAATATTACTACATTTGAAGCCACAGTACCCTGTCTCTGATTTTTTGTTGAGAAGCTGCTGTTGTGTTGATTTCCCAAGATGAAATGTGAATAAAAGTGTAAACCGTGTAATGATTTATGACTTTGTTCAGGCTACAGGTGTGTTTTTAAAAATAAAACAATCCAAATCCTCTTTTAATCATAATGCAGATTTAGGTCCAAGGTAGGTGCAATACTAACTGGATTCATTCTAAAGAGTGTTATGGGGAGATGGTGGATAAGAAGCTCAACGTGAGCTGGCAATATGTGCTTGCAGCCCAGAGAGCCAACCGTGTCCTGGCCTGCATCAGAAGCAGTATAGTCAGCAGGTCAGGGGAGGTGATTCTCCCTCTTCACTTGGCTCTTCTGAGACCCCACCTAGAGTACTGTGTCCAGTTCTGGAGCCCCCAGTATAAGCATAGATCTCCTGAAGAAAGTCCACAAAGATCATCCAAGGGCTGGAGCACCTCTCCTACAAAGACAGGCTGGGGGAGTTGGGGTTGTTCAGCCTGGAGAAGACTCTGGGACTTTATAGCAGCCTTCCAGTACCTGAAGGGGCTACAGGAAAGCTGGGGAGGGGCTTTTTTCAAGGGCTTGCAGTGAGAGGACAAGGGGTAATGTATCAAAACAGGAAGAGGGAAGATTAGGTTTGACATTATGAGGAAATCCTTTAGTGTGAGGGTGGTGAGACACTGGGACAGGTTGCCCAGGGAGGTTGTGGAAGCCTTATCCCTGGAAGTGTTCAAGGGCAGGTTGGATAGGGCTTGTAGCAACCTGATATAGTGGAAGGTGTTACTGTCCCTGCAGAGGGTTTGGAACTAGATGATCTTTAGGGACCCTTCCAACTCAAATCATTCTATGATTCTATGAGATAAACTATTTAAATTTGTTATGAAAACTGGTGCCTCATGGTTGTCAGGACTTAGCGTTACTTGAAGTGATGCTGAACAGTTAAGATAGAGTACAAAAGTGGATGAATATGTAGGAAGCAAAGCTTTGTTAACTGCTGCTGTCAGACCGTTTTTTACTAAGCATTTGATGCAACAATTTCTTATGGGTCCCAATTAGCTGTTTCATTGAAGGCCAAGAATATGTGCTGTATGAGCTGCAGGTAGTGTGATTACACCTCCCCTCCCCTACCTTACCAGGAGTTCTTTTCCTACAAATACTCAGGTTGCTATTGTTTGGTTTGGGGTTCTTTTTTGTTTTGTTTTTTGTTGGTTTTGGGGTTTTTTTTGGTGCCAGCAAATTTCTATTTTTTCCAGTTCTTTTCCTGGAAAGATATTTTAAGTCTGATGCATAAATCTATCTTCACATCACAGTTTATGTGAATTAAATGCCTCAAGTATATACAATTTTTTTTTTAAAATAGTGTTAACCTCTTGTAACCAGTATTTTTAAATGTGAAAATCTCTTTTTAGGAATGCTAATGACGGCCAATGAAGCCCCTAAAATGAATATCTATTATATACCAGTAAGTAATACAAATTGTTACTGATACTGCTCTTTTAAAACTCAGTTGTTTCATGTCGTTCAGGTATTCATGTTGAATTCTGCAAATTTGTGTCTACATTCTTTGACTTTTCATCATAAAGTAAATTTAAACTAACCATAATTTATTAATGTAACATATTGAATTATTAAAAAAACCTAGCCTGTAATTTGCCTTGTGCTACCAGTTCCAAAACTGGCTAATGACAATAGGAAATACAAGTGGAGCTTTGCTGGAAAAAGTAGTTTCTCATAGCTGATCAGAAAAGCATTCCTAAATAGGAGCTGTGTATCTTATTTTCAAGATAATAATTTTGCTTAGTTGTGAAAAACTGAATTACTGTCCTTAATGTGTGCTATATAGTGACATATCATGGCAGTAAATATTCTTTTCTATTCTGACAGAGAACTGTCACTGTGTGGCTTTACATCTGGCTCTTGGCTTTAGCCTCTGCTCAGTGCCCCACTTGAACTGCAGCTTTTCCCTTGACCAGCTCCTCACTTAAAAGGCTTAACTGTAGGTTAGCTATATATTGTATTTCTGCAGGTTGGTTTTAGGGAAACTTAAAAGCAAGCCTTCTGGTGTTAGGTTATGGAAAACTACACCTACATTTCATTCTTGTTTTTATTCTGTTTCTGCAGTGCATTCACTGGGTTGTTGTTGGTTTTGCCTGTTAGGAGGTAAAAATCTGTATGTTTCTTTTTAAGTAATTTTATTCACATTGTAGGCAAACTATACCATCTGGTAATTTTGATCTGTATTCCACTGTTTTTTAAGTCAGCCAAGAAGTTTTCTTCCAGATAATACATTTTAAAGTGATTTTAATTTAATTTTCTTTAGTTTATTTCTGTATTGTTATTGTCCCTGCCCCCTGCAGCCCACCCCCTATCCCCTGTGGTCTTGGTTACATCTAAAGTGAATAATAAGTTTACATTTTTCTTTGTGGAATAGACACTCTGTACCTGTTGTGTGTACATGCCTAAGCACAACAGTACACCTCTCTAAATTGTTCTGTAATCTGATTACCATGTATTATTACATTTTTGCATTTTAAGAAAGGTAAAGTTTTATATGAGTTATTTCTGTGTCGTTTATGTCATATATCTGAAGCACAACTTCTGTAGTTCAGCTCTAACCAGCTTTAAATTTCTTAACTGTAGCTGTTCCACGCTTTGGATAACAAAGAGTGGGGAGATTACAAATATTTTTCTATTGAAGACAAAGTATTAGCTGTCGTTACAAGCTGAACACTTTGTTTCTGCTTGTCCTTTGTAAGGCTTAGAGATCAGGTCTCCAAGCATTTTTAGATCATCTTTTTAGTTAGTGGATCAGGGAAGACAAACTCCATATTTGCAAAGTCTGATGAGTTTTAAAACTTGAATGGACTAGTTACTCTATGTAAAGTAATTCAGATGGAAGAGCCATTCCTTCTGTCACTAAGAGTAAGGTTCTGTGTCTCTGAAGATTGTGCACTGAGATTTTTTTATGCAGCTGTGGATGATATGTGAACTTCACAGCCAGAGCACATGAGATGTGCATATCCAACATTGCCACTTAGAAAAAATAAAATTAATTATCTTGATTATCACCAGCGATGAGTGAGTGTTAGAACTTGTTCTATCCAGCCTTGAGTATACTTGCACATACTATAAATCAAAATGAAAAATGCTTTTTTTTTTTACTGTCTCAAACATCTCAGTCTTGCAGATTCATCTCTGTGAATACTGAACTCATGTTTCTGAACTCAGATAAGTAGTTATAAGCTAAGAAATATAAGCACTCTATATTGGATTTCAGATCACGTGTAACAGATATTACTGCAAACGGAAATACTGACTAATGCTGTATGGTATTTTATCAACATGGAGACCCATGAAAATTAACACAATTCTTTCCTTTAAGCATCCTCCTTTGTCACCGTCCTCTCATTATTGGTACCTGAGTCGTGTTTGGATCATACTAGTTTATGGTTTTACACTTAGAGTGACACGTGAGAATACAAATAGACCCACATGATTAATGTTAAAATATAAATCCAAATTCGAATTCTGTTTTTCGCATTTTGTTGTGTGTAAGAAACTTTAAAATTTTATTCAAAGGCTGGTGCCCAGATTAAGCTTAACTTCAGTTCGTGTCAATGACTGAGTTTGAAGGCTGATGAAGATACCTTAAATACTGGCATGACTTTTCTTTAGTCGCTTATCTATAGTTAATTTCAAAACATGGAATGCTTATTTTAGAAAAACTAACAGTAGTAAGAAGTTAGTTTGAAATAACTGGCTTTTTTACCCTGTCTGCCTTTTCACAGGCAAGACTGAAGGAGCTGGCATTTCCTAAAAAGTCAAGGATGTAGGTCACTAAATCTGTTTTTGTTGGCTGGCTTTTTTTTTAATCTCCCTTTTTAAATGAAGAAAATATAAAGTGGAGAAGCTGTGTCAGCCTTAAGTGGCTCCAGGACATTTGTTATTAAGGAAAACTCAATGTTATTAATGTGTTCATGTTACAGTTTTATTCTTTGATATTTTGGGCTTGCGATTTGAGCTGAGATTCACACCTGCCCTTTGGTTTCTGTGTCAGTAGATTATTAAGACAAGGGTGATTTCCATTCTTGAAACATTGAGTAATTTCCTTGCACATGCAAAGGTGAATTTAGTTGTGTGTGTCTTTGGAGCAGAACTTTAAAGAACATATGATTTTCTAGATCACCTGATCTCTCTTCGTTTTCTAGCTTTTCCTAAGAGCTAAGATTCACTGCTTTTCCAATGAATAGTTAATTTTCTGTTTGTTTGTTTACTTTGAGATAGAAGTGAATATTAATTAAGATGTGCCCTCTGTGTTTGAGATGTTGACAAGAACTGAGTTATAATTCTTGAATTCCACAACAGAAGAAATGCCTAGGGAAAATTCTGCTCCTATAAAGGACAGTTGTGTTTCAGAGCTCTTGGAAGTACTTTGGTGTAAATAGAATCCATTTGATTTCCCCTCATTGCTTTGTGGTGCTAGTAACTTGCTTTGTTTAAGTCTTCATTGGAACAGCTACAAGGAGTTACCATGGTTATGGTCAAGGAGGGTACTTAAGATCTCAGATGTATGGTGCTGTACTCTACCCTCTAGTTTAAAACATAAGAAAAAAAAAATACTTCAGAAGAAGAGATGCACAGAAATCTTACAGTGCAGGAGTTCATATGTATGTGGATGGGTGCAGACAGACTGAGCATCCTCTGTCCTTGATTGAAGTTGGCCAGACAGTGTAGGACTGTACCCAGCCTAATATACCCTGCCTCCCAGCAGGTTTTATTGGTGTGGGCACAGTGCTGTGCTAACACAGCTACACGACTTGTGAACTAGAGCTGGCTCGTGTCCGGCCAGCTTGGAGTACGGTCTGACTGAGCTCATGTCTGACTGAATTATCTGTGTACATGTGCCCATTCTCTCCATTGTTAATGCCAAAGCTAAATTTCCATTGCAAAACCAAAAAATGATTGTCTCTTGAACTTCAGTACTATAAAAGAGTTGACAATGGGTATCATAACACTGTCTGTAGTCATTTACAGCATGCTTTAGCTTTTCCTGCAGAATTTTCAACAAGATAAGTATGACATTTGAGACTAGGAATGTCTGGGAGAACTGTGCTGTTCTTAAAAAAAACCCACAACAAAAAAAATCGCTCCAGTTGTTTCTTATATGTGCAAAGCTGTTAGTGGAGGGAAAGGAAGATGATTTTTTGTTTAATTGAAAGGACAGGAAGATTTTGTTTTAAATGGCAAGAAAATACCTTATGCAGGTACACAATGTGAGGACTGAGTAAAATTAAAATTGCATCTGACACTTAAAATTAAATGTTTGTTTTACATAAGTAACATCTTGAGTGGCTTAGCTTAGACACTTTGTTTTTGTTTTATTTTGTTGGGCTTTAATGAGAGCAAGTGCCTCTGACTGGAATTGGGCTGTTTGCCAGTAGTTTAATAGTTAACTTGCAGTTTATGCAAACATTTGAAACCTACTTCTTGCCAGCTGGCTTCCTGGTATATTGCTTTGATGTGTGCCTCAGGAAGGTTGAAATGAAAGTTGTGTGTGCCTTGGGATACTTTTCAGACTACTGACTCAGAAACATAAGTTGAGTCAACAGTGCAACCAGGTCCTGGCCAAATAAATGAAGAGAGTAAGAAGCTCCACCAACACATGGTGGTCTCCTGGCCTGGCATCTAGGTTGATCTAGGTTCTCTTAATTGAGGCTGTCAGCTTCCATGACATGTAAAGTTCTCTTTGCAGGTTGTACAGAGAAACCCCTGCATGGTGGCTCTTGAATGCTCTGCAAGCAAGGGATAGTATTTATCCTGAGTGTTTACTACTGGTTACACGAACATGTCTGATCTTCGCACAGACATTTCAAATCAGTCCTGTCTCCTTTATTGGACTTGAAACTTTGGGTTACATATACATACTGAAACTGAAACTTGCTCTGTTCATTAGGCTGTTAAAAGAAGAGAGCAATTAAGCGTGTAATTAATTGAGTGTAATATTCTGTGTTCTGGATTTCTTTACTTTCCTGCAGCCTTGGCAGAAAACTCCCTGTTGAGGCTAGAAGCAATGTACTTTTGGGGTAGGGAAGATATTAAGTTCTTTAAGAAAAAAATAAATCCTGACGCGTCTCTGGCTTTT